AGGTGCCACAAGTACTCCTGTCTTTTTGCGGATACAGACTAACACGGCTGCTACTCTGAAACCTGAAATTAACATATGTGAGTGATGCTTGAAGCAAGCCATAGGTACATAGTTATAAAATACACCATGTGCTGTGAAGATTTTATCAGCATGAGTTGTGAATATTTGCAGGACCCATAAGTGCACATGATTTTGGAACAAAGTTGGTATTTAAATGTAAATCACTATCCGCAGATTCAATTCTCACTTTTAATTGGGGAAATAAATTGTTTCTTTTCACACATTAGTTCCTGCCAACCTGCAGCAAAAACAGGTGATTCCCTTGCTACCCTGTTCCTGCCCACTTTTAATGATTCGGATGAGGGATGCTATCAACAGCCGTTGATGGACATTATGTAAATCGGAAAAAATGAAATATCAGGGCAGAGACAGGCACTCTGAGTAATAAAAGAGGTTTCCCTTTCTGAGGAAATTACTCCCTTTCCATGCATGTCTTTGGAACGGACATTGTTAATTTGTCACTGCCTGAGGAACAAGGAGCACATCCCCCCCGCATGCCAATAGGAAAAAGCAGGTGGGTGGTATCCAAAGGAGAAGCATAATGTTCTATTTCAAACTGAAGAGAAAAGAAAACTATTTACAGGGAGGTTTCTCCACAATTGTATTTTTAACTTGATCCAGCTGTCTGGCTACTTTGGACTTTTTAGAGAGCTGAGGAGAGTAAAGAAATAAGAATTTTGTTTTTAGGCTCTTAAGGGCCAAATTCTTTTTTTGGCTTCTTAAGGGCCCTGACTCCTCCTGTGTTGCACTACTGAGGCAGGACAAAATAGGCAGAAAAGGTGCCTTAAAGGGGCAGCCATGGATTCCCCCAACAGAGGGCAATCATTAGGTAGAGCTGGTTAGGTTGGCTCACCAGGGTAGTTTAAAAGAAAACTTTCCCCTATTGTGTTTACTCCAAAAGCCTAAACATCCAGAACTTAGAAGATAATTGAACCATCTCTTACCATGTGCAGTATGAACAGAAAAGGGGATTTGAAATCTTAATTATATTGGGATTTCTGAGCCTATTGATGGAGGCAGACATATTGTTGGGAAGGTGGCACCATATTTGACATCAACAGGAGGTCTGCAGACCCTATAGAAGGGAAGGTGCAGTTGCTAACTTACCATGACATTACGGTAAATATTAACATAAAAACCTCAGTGCTTAAGGAAAGCGTTTAATCTGGAAATGTTTAAAATGACCTTATAAGGACTGTTAACCCTTTGGAGACAGTCCTGGAATAAGAAAAAATCCAGCCAGACTGTTTTAAGCACCTAGTTAGAGATCGATCCAGGTAGCACTCACTCTGCAAGGATGCTACGTCCATTTGGGTTTTGCCCCCAGCATGCCTCTTCGGTGGAGCTGCACCCATTTACATCACAGCTGAATATGGGTATGCAGGTGTCTGTCTAACTAATTTATCCCTATTCAGTCAGCTGGTAGCTTGGGAAGGGCCAGGAGTGCAAGAGTTAAGCCAGTATTAAAAGGACCAGGACTTTCTTACACTCTCTTACTATCCTGTGGACTCCCCTGAGAGTTGGATGATGTCACTGTTTTGGCAACTCCTCAACTTGCACTGCACAAGTGGGGGCCAACCAGCAGCTCTCCTATTTTTACCAGGCATGGGCTCCCCAGCTGCTTTCTGCATGGGAATTATATAACCATGCAGTGTAAAAGGAATCTAAAAAGGGAATTCTCAAAATCACTGTTGAGGTAAGGGATGAAGTCAGAGGGCCCAGGACAGTACAACAGCAGCCCCACCCTCACTAGCCTTGCTACAGTTACACAGCTGCCCGGATATCCAGCAGGGGAGTTGGCCAAGAGAGCTACGGTAGATGAACTTAACATAGATGTACAGCAGTAGTAAACCCAGGTGTACGATGACCATCTGTTGCAATGACACTGTCCGTCTTGCAATTGCCAGTTGCACTCTAACAGAGTTCGCAATTGAGAATGATGCATCCGGGCACACGACCCTGTCCCGTATTGCCAATTATACTAACTGACAATGTGTTCATGTACAATTGCACTGCTAGTTAGAACAGCCAAAAAAGCATCTGGAGCAGCTTAAAGGAAAATTGCACCTCTCTCTTTCTGTGCCATATTCTGAACATTTACCTTGTAAAATGCATTTCTGGCCCCATAACAACTGGAATTCTTTTCATTCAAAAATGCAAAACATAGATTTGAATTTTCAGTGTGTATAGATTAAAAAGACTGGGTTGATAGCACTGAAAATTAAAGTAGAGTTTATCATTTAAAAGAAGAGGTTGCCCGGACACAAGGATTGGCCATCAGGAAATCTGGTTTCGATGCCTAGCTTTGCTACATATTTGCTGTGTGAGCTTGGGCAAATCACTTAGCCCCAGCTTCGGACCTGGGAAGTAGGGCTAATGATCCTTTGTAGAGTACTTTTGAGATTAACAGCTGGATAAGTACTAAGAATTATAATTATGACCCTTTCTAGCTAAGCCCTCTATACATAACAGCCAGCACGGCAGCATGCTGTTATTCTGCATTATTGCTCTCCTGATGAGCAACTACAAGAAATAATATGTGTGTTCCCTAAAAGTTCTTAGGTGTCTCTTTTATTTTCTGCAGCTTCTGTTGTGCACTCTCCACTTTTGGAATGTAGACCTGTTTGGAAGAGCGTTTGCATTTTGCACTGATAGTTTGACTGACAATCCTGGAGACTGAAGTCCTCACTCCACAGAACAGGTATTCCCCAGCAGTAACAGGGCGGGTTTCCCTATATTGCCTTGCCAGCGTGTCTCCACCCCTGATGTGGAGGGGTCACCTTTACAAATGACAGCATAGTTAGTCCAGCCTCTGTGTCTACGGCCCATTCAATCCTGGACCTCTGCTGAGATTGCCAGCAATATTGCCAGTTGAGATAATGGTTTCTGTGCTTCCACTGGACTGAGTTAGCCTAAGGATTTTGGGTCACTACTGGATTTGGCCAAGTGACTTAAATGTAAGAGACTCTGTCACTCCTTGGCAATTCCCTCAGCCATTCAGAGGTCTGTATTTACTGCTTATGTATGTTTTCGAGTGGTGTATTGATCACATACCATATATAGTGTGCACAGGCACAGCAGTGGTTTTTATGCTTCCTGAAATAGGACTAGTGCTGTTCTCTTGCTCTAGCGATATTTTGGCTATTTATTGCCTATATAATAACAACACAAAGCACTCAGAACAACAGAGGCTGCTGGATTTAGCCTCCTCTGATTTAACCCTGTCAGGGGAGACAGGCTGGGTGAGCAGAGCCCTTCAGACCTATGCTTTTGTCTTCTTTAAAATAAGGTTTCTGTCACCATTCAACACAGTGAACAGCAGAACACTGACTTATGCACTGCAGGTCTGTTTTCCTTGAGTTGGAATAATGGGTGAGCCATTAATGAATACTAAGAGCGGGGCTGTTCTGTTTATACAGTTGGCAGAGCTGTGACTTGTGAGTGACAGAGCCCTACCTCAAATGGAAATTACCTACATTCTGCAGTTGAAATACTGAATTATGTGCGCGGGCTGCCGTGCTTGTTCCATGTCTCAAAACAAACAACATGCCGAACAATGACTCGTGTGCTGGGTTGCGAATGGCTGGCTTCTTAGGGGGGCTATTTTTTGTGCAGCATACAGGCTGGGAAAGCGGGATCACAGGATTTGCCATGCCAGCTAAGACCATTGGCCTATCAAATTAAGTATCCTGGGCCAGATCATCAGCTGGTATAAACTGGTATTGCTCTGTTGACTTGGAATGGAATTATGCTGATTTACACTAGCTGTGGAGATGGAGCCTTGCCTCCCATAGGGGCCAGTACTTCAGGGGAAGCCAAAATAACCCCATAATGCACTTGACTAATTATACAGTGCCGCATATGGAAGAAAATTACAGTCACTAAGGCTACATCTGCATTGTGCACCACTGGCGATGGCAAGTAAGGTGTATGTAGCTTCATGCTGCAGTAAAAAGCAGGCTGCATGCTCAGTGTGGTGTGTAGCTACATATCAGTGACAGACTCCAGCAGCTGGGAGGCAGCAGGAAGAGTCTTCTGCAGTTCCCCCCGTTGCTAGAGCTCTGACAGTGGGGAAGCTGTGGGGAAATCTCCCTGCCAGAGTTTTTCCCCACTGCCATAGTCTTTCGCTGCTGTGTGGAAAGGCTCCAGCAGCAGGGAGCTGGTAGAGACTTTCCCCACTGCCTGGGTCTTTCCCTGTGGTGGGAATAGGCTCTGCAGCAGGGAGCTACCCAAGCTTTTCCCATTGCCAGCCCCCTGCCAGAGCCTTTCCCCACTGGGGAAGTCTTTTCCTACAGCAGGGAAAGGCTCCAGCAGCAGGGAGGCAGTGGAACACTACACTGCTAAAAATAGCAGTGTAGACAGGAAGACATGGCTTGGGCGAGAAGAGAGCCAGGCAGGGTATGTACTCAGGTGCATACACACACCCTTCAGGCTTGTCTTTACTCATCTCTACTGTGCCTCACCAGCCACACTGCTATTTATACTCCTGCTCGGAGGGCTATGTGCATAGGCTGTTGAAAGAAGTGTGCAGAGTAGACGTGCCTTAAGTTAGCACTGGGGGAGCTCAAAACAAGTGGGCTTGTAAGCAAACATAGTAAGGGTGACTCAGAGGTGCAAGTATGCTATGGGCTTTTGGTTTCTGTGCTGCTCCTCTCCTCTTAAGTGTGAAACCACTGCTCCCATCACTGTCTAAGCATCTACGTTTTCAGATTCGTGGACGTGATGTTGTGGCCTCTTGTATTTGCAATATCAGCAATGAAATTGGCTCATCTCTTCTCTGAAGTGACACAAAATCGCAGCCCAAGATCATGGGCTCTATCCACATTTGCACCTGATCAGAACTTGTGCAGCTTGGGGTGGGAGAGGCAAAGATGGCTATAGTCTAAGCCACCTATTCACTTTCTCAGAACATGCAGCTGAACCAGCCCCGGCTCAATTTAGAGCTGCTCAGTGCCTGCTCTAATTTCTGCTGGATTTAATGGTGCCCCAAGGGGCAATTACACTGATGAGGATAGCAGAACACACAGTGTCAGGCACTGCCCCCTGATAATCAGGCCTAGCGGTTGGAAAGTGGGTCACAGCTAGGTGTAGGGTTGGGCCTGGGCCAAGGTAATCAAGATCCAGGCTAGGCTAAGGTCAAAACTGAGATCAGAGTGCATAGACAGGGGAATCCTTAGCTGTCCTGATAGGTAGCGTCAAGGCAATGTGCAGCTCTCTGCTGACAGTGTCCATTTCAGTAGGCCTTAGCAAAAACCAGTTCGTGCCAGTGTTCTGACAGCACATTGAATTACAATATATTCAACCAATGAAACATGAGACAGACTCCTCACATCATCAAAACAAATAATCTTTGGTTAATCAGATCCCAGGAGCACCGGACACATTCACATACCTAACTCTGTGACTTTTTCATCTTTTTTTTCCCTATGGAAGACTTTCATAGAATCATAGGATTAGAAAGGACCTCAAGGGATTCTTTGGCAGAGATTCTGCCAAAGACCCATTTATCTCATAACACTTTAAAATCCCACTGCTTGTTTCATCTTGGGGACCAAAAGGAAGGACTCCAGGGACCACTTGTGTTCCATGGACATTAATTTGAAAATGACTAGTCTAACAATTCTTCCTTTGTGGGTTTTACAAATTAAACCTTTCTTGGTGTCACATAAGCTATAGCAGGGAATCTCTTCCATACATGTGATCAACAGCAGAGGAAGGATGCTGTCCTATGGTCCTGGTTTCTACAATGTGGCGCCCTCTGCTACCCTTACTGAGTTCCCTCTTAATCCTTCCTCTCCAACAACTGAGGGCAGGTCTACACTGATGCAGTTGTGCCACTGCAGCGCTCCTGGTAAAGATACTCTAAGCTGACAGGAGAGAGCTCTCCCATCAGTTTAACTCCACCTCTGTGAGAGGCGGTAGCTATCTTGGTGGGTGAAACTCTCCCACTGACATAGCACTGTCTGCATGAGGGGTTAAGGTCGGTATAATTATGACGCTCAGGGGTGTGGATTTTTCACATCCTTGAGTGACATAGTTACACTGAAGTGAGTGTAGGCCTGGCCTGAGAATGGGAGTGGCTCCTCGCCAACACATAAATGTAGTGTATTATTATTATTACTCTAGTCCTATGGCTGTGGTGACTTCTAGAGGCTGTGTAGCCTGAATGGGGGAGAGACATACCAGTTTAGTATTGATCTTTACTGTTTGGATGCAAACTTTTTTTTCCAAGTTTAGCATTTGGGTTTTCTGCTTTTTTGCTTAAACTTGGCCCAACCTTTCCTACAATCCCAAAAGACAAGTCCAAGAAACATCACTGAACTATGATATCATATGGAAGCCCTGTGGCCTTGCTTCTTTATATGTGAATTTTTGGGATCACCAATTTAGTGTGGCATAAAAAAGTCCTGTAGGTTGTGGTGACATTTCTTTTCTGATAGGTTAACTTAGGCTATGTCTACACTTACCATTTAAAGTGCAAAAAGTCCCTTTTTTGTTCTAAAACCCGTGGGAGCATCTACACTTGTTAATGACTTTTTGCGCTGAAACTCAGAAGTTTCACTGCAAAAAGAAAACCACCTTCACGAGAGGCATATAGCTCTTAGTGCTATTCTTTATGCGCTGTTGTGAAAGTGAAGACACATTCTACCAGTGTAAACACCCTTTGGCCTCCGAAGGATATCCCACAGTTACAAAAGCAACCACTCTGCCTAGCATCTCTGCTGCTCTGATGCCTGGTAAACGGATGTCCGCCCCTCCCCCTGTAAGCCCCGGGAAGTTTGAAGCTCCCTTTCCCTTTGCTTGTAGATGTGGCAGGGAAAGCAGCCAGACAGCAGGAGGTTTTAAAAAAAATGCCTGAGACATGAAGCAGGGCCACACGGGGCACAGAGCAGGGACTCAGAATGCCTTCTGCTCACCCCCCGTTCCCACAAGACCTATCAAGAGAGCTGCGCTGTGGGATAGCTGCCCTACAGCGCTGCTCTCATTAGCAATGGAAGTGCTGGTAGTGTAAACACTCTCTGACACATGAGGAATAGAATGAGTACACAAACCAGCACTTTACTTTCACCAGTTCCCTATCACCGGTGAAACTTACTGCGCAAAAACTCTTTAAGTGTAGACATACCCTAAAGTAAAGCAACCCAACACACAGGATGTGTTTTTCAGCAGATTACAAGGTCTCAGGTAGTTTCATAAATTAACGTCTGCTATAGGTTTTCATTCATGAACTAAATTATTTTAGCAGCCACTGATGCCATACTCCATTTTACTCACTCCCATATTAACCAGAATAACAACTGGAAGTGGTCACTGCATTAACCCCTGATGATCTTGAAATTATATTGAAGTGTTCCATGGACTACTAGAAATCAGTCTGGAGATTTCATTCCATTTCCTAGTCGAGCAGCATCCATATCACAGAAAACACCTCTACAATTGGCACCAATTAGCAACACTGTGGTTGTTAGAGCAGGGAGGCTGGTCTACACTGTGGCTGCTGGAGGCAGTCCCTGCAAGCCAGTGGTGAGTAGGGTGACCAGAGAGCAAGTGTGAAAAAAATCAGGATGGGGGTGGGGGGAACAGGCACCCATAGAAGACAAAGCCTCAAATATTGAGACTGTCCCTATAAAATAGGGGCATCTGGTCACCCTAGTGGTGAGGCATGTTGGCAGTGAAGAGTGGCAAAGCTTGCACTTACAT